AACATATTTCATCTATTGTTTTTTAGTTTATTAGTTATATTTGAAGATAGTACAGATAATAATTATCCCAATAGCTACTTAGAGTTTAATTAATTTATACAAGAACAATTACATATGGAATACTAGCTTTATACTTTCTATGTGGTTATGGCCGCCTAAAAATTGACCAATTTATTGTGACTTATTGATTCGATTAATTGTGAGATAATATTGCGATGAAATTGTCCAAAAAGACGATTTCTGCCGATTCCTTCTCCCTTTTTATTGTAATGCGTAATTTTTTATTGACTTTTTTGATTCATAATTTATCACGAACTTGTAATAAGAAAAACTTGTCGAGAAGTATACTAAGCGTAAATTTGGATAGAATTTTAAATATAAGTATAACTTACTAGATGGTTGGTTTTTCGTGAACAATCTCGGTCTTGATGTTGTATTTTTTGTAACGTACTTTGATTTTTATTGATTTCCAGGGTTCAAAAAAAGTGCTTTGTTTTCTTCACTGTTGAAGACAAGAAAAGCATTCCTTGAGTGAAACATCATGCTATACAACTTTGGATAACTTGTAAAGAAAATTGAGATGATTGGCATGTTCAACAAATAAACGTTTGTCCTCGTTTGTTTTGTATTGACTGACGTAACTTCATCAACACATATTTAGTATGAATCTTCAGAATATAATAAACTATATAATTCTAAAAATAATTTTTTGAGTCATTCTTTTGGAAAAATGGTTACTTTAATCTCTTGGAAATGAAAAAAAATATCGAATAAAAAGCTTTACTTAATCCTTCAACTATTCTTGTCGTCATGGGTGTGGATATGGATCGATTGGTATGGGAAGTAAGTGTGAATATAAGTCTAGTTATGAGGGTCAACGTTTCTTCGAACGGCAATTATACATTTTTAATTGTAAGAAAAAAAAATTACACTTATAAGGTAGTACAGGCTTTCAATACTAATCGCATTAACATTGGCTTTCTTCTGAGAAAAATCTTGGTACACCATTTTAGTTGTATTAAAATACCTTCTGTGAAAGACATATTATATACATGAATTATATGTCCATCTTTCTGAAAAGGCGTGGATATAGATGAAAAGTGTGAACGTGGTTTTCACCTTCACCGTTACATCCATACATTCTAGAAGGGTGGGAATAATATTTTATATCTCAAAAAGTTATCCACATTATTTCTGTCTTTTTCTGACATTGATCCAGCCAATTTTTACAGCTTCGAAGCGCTGTTATATCGAATCATATCTTTCTCATTTGCTCTGACCTCGTTGCACTGATATTCAAGTTAATATTTGAATATTGTCAGTATTGTAATTAGTTTTTTCAAGCAAAATGAAAGTTTTGATTATATTCATTTTGATTGGTTCTTCGTATGTAATACCATGTATGCTTGATCGATGTTCCATATCAAGAATTTATTCTTCGTTTGTATAAAGAAACATGATTGGTTCCTCTAGTTGTACCAATCATAAAGGCAAAACAACACAACAACGATTGATCATTGTTTCCTTAGTAATTACAATTAACCGATTATTCCTTTTCTTTTTGAAACAATCATGTTATGTAAAAAATTCCATCGATATTCATTTCAATTATTATCTTTTGTTCGTTATCAAACAAATATATCAAAAGATAATCAAAATTCTAAACCATCAATAGAAAAAAAAATTTATGATCAACATTTATCAAATATTACTGTCACATCATTTTATTGTCAAACTGCTATTGAACAATTTGCACTTAAAGTATTATTTAATTAGTTCTTGAAAAGAAATAAATAAAATTTATTTTTCAATTTAGCAATCAACTCGTCTTTCACCATTAACAATGATGTACATTGGAAAAACTGATGATGGTAGACATCTATTAGTATGTTTGAAAAAGAAAAACTTTGTTTTTTTCTTAAATTGTTAATAAATAATTTTATTTTCTAGCGTTCAGCTCAATATTTACATAATGATTTACCAATACGTTTTGCACATCGTATAAATGATTTTCGAAATTTACCATTTGTTGTTGCATGTAATCCACTTCTATTAGAATTGGTAAATTTTTTTTTTCTTTTGATTAATTTTCTTAATTAAGAATATTTCTTTTTTCTCTCTCTTAATTTTTATTTAGCATGAACGTTTTATTAAAATTTTTCATACACTTCATTCATTTCCACCGGTAATAGAAATTGAAAAGATTTTTGTTTTTTTGTTTCTAAAATTAATAAGTTTCTTTCTTTTTAAGATTAAAACACTTGAACATGAAAAACTTTTTACAGAATTATTACAAAATACACTTAATTGTACTTCAGATACATTACCATTATTAGCTGAAGGTTTTCGTAAATCTAAACAACATATTAAAGTAATAATAATAAGAAATGAATTTTATTTTGATTATTTGTTTTATTTCTAGCAAGAAATGTTTGTACGAAATTTTCTTGATCGTGCACTTGCATCTCGTTTAGCTATTAAAATGTTAATTGAAAATCATATTGAATTACGCAAAGATAAAGTAAATAACAGAAAAATTTACCTAAAAAAGAAATTTATTATTTCATTTAATTTATAGCCAAATCATATTGGTATTATTTGTATGAGTTTTTCACCTAAAAAACTTATTGAAGCATCAGCTGAATATGCTCAGTACGTTAATAGAAAGATAAAAAAAAAATATATTTATTTCATTCAATCTTCTCTTTTTTTTTAACTAGAGCAGTATGTCGAGCGACATATGGTATCGCACCAGATATTACAATTGATGGACATGTGAATAGTTCTTTTCCTTATATAACAATGCCACTTAGTTATATTGTACCTGAAATGCTTAAAAATGCGTTTAGGTAGGATGACATTCTATTCAATAGTAATTTAGAACATTGAATGTATTTGTTATTCTCTTTCGAAAACATTATTAACTTTCACTTCATGCAAGAAAAAGTTCGAATTGAGGCAGTATTTTCGAAAACTAAATCCAGAAAACTTTTGAGACTAAAACGTTTTTTCTGAACATGCTTCGATTTTTCAAAAATATTGATTTACTTTTCGTTAGTAACACGATGGAGTACGAAAAAATGCTTTTATAATCGAATGAGAAATTCGAAACGGTAAAAATCCTTGTTCAGAATTACTAGATGATGGTAAAATTGTTTTAGAATTTCTAGAAAACTAGTTTTTTGAAGCTAGATCTTCCTGAAAATTTCATCATATATGTGGTAGAGTCTATTCTGAAATTTTCAGATTTGTTTTGTCGTACAGCAAGAGAGATCTTCTGTATGATGTCAATTGATTATCAGATATTAAATGTACTTCACGAACTATTAAATTGAAATCAAAATTCTTTTACTAATCTTATTTTGTTTTTTAGAGCTACAGTTGAACATCATAAAAATTCTGATAAAAAGTTACCAAATGTTGGTGTTACTATTTCGGTTAATGAAGATGAACTACTCTTAAGGTATAAACATTCTCTCTATATATATAAAGTATCAACGATTCGAAATTTGAGGAACATTTTTATGTTATGGTAGGTTAGACCTTGTCGAGTTAATTATAAAAATATTGTTTTTGACATATT